ATCAACTCCAATCATGCCATCACCATCCTTGTCCCCATCAGCCAGGAAAGCCTTGGTCTCAGCGTCAGTCAGGGCTCTGGCAGAGGCAGAGAAGTTCTGCAGGAACAGCCTGGATGGATACAGGCAATCAGCAATGACCGTGAATAAAGCCTATTCTGCTGCTTTCCTTCTCTACTCATATTTTGCTGAGATAAAAATACAGAAGGGGTTTAAAGTTAGGTCTTGTTTTGCCCCCACACTAAACAATCAGTCAAGCCCTATTCAGGGAACATGGCATTCACTCTAAGGAACATGATCAAACTCTCCCTGTCAGCACACCATCAGAACTGTGAGCCTGGTGAGGCCCTGTGTAGCTCAGTTGGTAGAGCATGGCGCTTGCAGCACCAGGGTTGTGGGTTTGTTTCTCATGGGGGGCCAGTATGAAAAAAAAAAGTATGCACTCACTAACTGTAAATCGCTCTGGATTAGAGCGTCTGCTAAATGACTAAAATTTAAAAATTTAAATGCATGAGAGAGCAGGCATAAACCAGAATAGTAGGTGTTAGATGATGAGTGTAATATCAGAGGGGTCATTACTTGAGCTCATCCTCCTCAATGAAGCCACTCTTGTCCTGGTCAATGACGTAGAAGGCCTTCTTCACGTCATCGTTGGACTTGCTTGCCAGGCCAACCTTGGCAAAGAATGCCTTGTGGTTGAAGGAGTCAGCAGCTGTGGGGAGATCAGGTATCCATTAAACTGCTGTGGGAGGATTTCACAGTTACAGCTATTTTGAACAATGCTGCTGGGCCATGGCTGTACCCGCTTGCTCAGAGATTGTCTAGTGGTAGAACTGCTGCCCCCAGACTGGACCACACTCCCCTGGAGGCAGCGGTTCAATATTCCAGTCTAGTCACTCTTTTCTGTGCTATATCCCTCTCGTCTATCTCCTCATCAACCACAAAAAGAAAGGAGAGAGAGAGAGAGAGAGGAGAAGAGCGAGAGAAGGGAGGAGAGAGAGAGGCCGGAGTTGAGAGAGAGGAGATGAGAGAGACGAGAGGGAAGGAGAGGAGGAGAGACGGAGAGAGAGAGAGGAGAGAGGATGAGGAGAGAGGGAGGAGGGCGAGATGAGAGAGAGAGAGCAGAGAGAGAGAGAGATGAGAGAGGAGAGGAGAGAGAGAGAGAGAGAGAGAGGAGAGAGAGAGAGAGAGAGAGAGAGAGGAGAGGAGAGGGAGAGAGAGAGGAGAGAGAGGGAGAGAGAGAGAGTGTGTGTGTGTAGAAAGTGAACTGAGGCGTTTATAAGAGGTTTACCTGTGCAAGCAGCGAGGGCTGCAGCAACATCAGCATCGTTAAGACCGGCGAAGGACATGTTTAGCTGTGGAGAAAGCGGAGAAGATCAGTTACAGCAAAGCAAATGTTATTCTGTTCATCACCTGAAACTACTCATTTCATTATGCTGAAACTTTATCCTTTATCCAAGTTGGATATTTGGAAGATTGAACCCCCCCATATTAAACAATTGCATTTCCTAATAATATAAGTGGTAATAACATAGTTATTGTTATGTTATTAACATCTGAAAATCAAGTTCTATTCTTTTGGTTAGTTTTGGTTATTTTGGTTAGGATCGGTTATTTTGATTAGTTTTGGTTATTTTGGTTAGGATAAGTTATTTTGATTAGTTTTTGGTTCTTTTGGTTAGGACAGGTTATTTTGATTAGTTTTGGTTCTTTTGGTTAGGATAAGTTATTTTGATTAGTTTTGGTTCTTCTGGTTACGACAGGTTATTTTGATTAGTTTTGGTCCTTTTGGTTAGGATAGGTTAGGACAGGTTATTTTAATTAGTTTTGGTTATTTTGGTTAGGATAGGTTCACACTGCAGAGAGCATCAGGATGGATAGTCCTCTATTCCAAAGCCCGGACTTGCAGGCAGTGAATGATAAAGTATATCATCCCAATGATGTAGCCTGGGGATTTAGCTTCCATTTGGTTCCTTGATTATTCCAAAGGCAAAAAAAAGACTTTTCCTGAGTTTCTTTAATTGAGATAGCCTTTATAGTAGATACATCCACCATGTTCTGTTCCATAGCAAGGTGTAGTAAAACCGAAGGGTTGAAGATACATGCAAGATGTTGTCGACCTGACAAGATGAAGATTTATCCCTCTGCAACAGACTCACCTCAGGTTTGGCTCTAAGGCTTGAGTGGATTCGCAAAGATTATTCTGCCAACTGGTGTAAACCCCCCTGCCCAAGCCCTCGAACTTATATACCCTACTCGCCCGAAATGTGAGACATAATGTAATAGACACCGCATGCAAAGCAGTTGGTTGAAAATGTGTCCCGTAGTCGGGGTCCTTTCTATTTATATATACATAAATGAAGATGCTTAAAAGGTACTTATGCAAAAGTGCTTAATATTAAATCGGGCTAATAATATACACTACTGCTACGGATGAAATATACTTGCTGCCGATGCAGATTTATATCTTGTGAAAAGCTATTCAGCTGATGAGATGAGGTAAATTACATTTGTAGTTATTGAAAACCAGACTTTACACACAGATGTCTGAATATTTTGTTGGCTTCGACTTTCACAAGTGAGCAACTGCACGTGCGCAAACGTTTCTGTGATATTTAAAAAATAATGTATAATGTTTTGATTTCAAATCAAATTGTATTTGTCACATGCTTTGTAGACAACAGGCGTAGACAGCGCTCTATTCAATCCGCATCGCGGAAGTTCATCTTTACCGTGACAATGTTCCTGCTTTAGCAGAGGCTGCATTCTCGGTAAACCTTGCATATGTCTGCTCAATCTGAAATTACCTTTACATTTATATTGCGGAATCTGTAACGCTTCAGCTTTACAAATTGAAAAAAGTTGAAACAGTGAAATGCTTATTTGGGCTTTTATTGATGTTTTACTGTCTGTTTTACGAAATGCATTAATAGCCACTTAGTTTAACAGTTCAAAGGTCTAATTTACGACTGAGTTGCTCTAATGAGTAATTGGCATATGCAAAATGTCTGGAATGAGTGGTTGCTCATGTAGCCTAAGTGTCGAACAAAAGTAGGGTTCATGATTTATGGCTGTAGGTGTGGAGTGCTCTGTTATGTTGCAAAAGAAAACAAAGACACTTGAATTACTTGAAAGGCTAATTATATTACTTGAAAGGCTAATTGTATTTTTGTATTTTATGTTTTGTTTACCCCATATGTAACTCTGTGTTGTTGTTTTTATCGCACTGCTTTGCTTTATCTTGGCCAGGTGGCAGTTGTAAATGAGAACTTGTTCTCAACTGGCTTATCTGGTTAAATAAAGGTGAAATAAAAAAATAAAATAAAAAATCTCTGTCTAATTGAAGGGTGCCTGGTGTTATTTTGGTCCCTTTCACCTCCCCTACTCCCTCCACCCTGTTTCTCATTATGGCTATATTACTATTTATGAGAACAGTGAAAGGTGATAGGTCTACTCCCATCATCATTCAAACATCCAGATCTGGGGAAAGCCATTATGCAATACCTAGGCCTACGGTACCATACATCACCGTACAAGTTTAACAATGCTCTCAATGGTGCAGCTTGGGACGCAGGAGTCCACATACAAGTATACATACGTGTGTGACAAGGTTAATGTCTCTGCGTCCCAAGTGGCACCCTATTCCCTATGAGGCCCTGGTCAAAAGTAGTGCACTATAAAGGGAATATGGTGCCACTTGGGATGCATCCTATGGGTTTCATACTGCAGCAGGTGGCACTGTTGAGGTTTACCTGTTGCTTTTGTGTGAAGGCATTTCACAGCCAGCTAGATAAACTATGGAATGCAGTTTGTTACCATTCGATTTCTATGGTTGTGTAGAGAGCATCCAAACACTTTAAATAAATCTAGCACTGGCAACCTCATCAGTTTATATTTTATGGTACATAACTTACCAGGTATGTAATTACATGGGGAAATGGTAATTACATAGTAATACCTTATTTATTAATCAGTCACCTCTGCCCATCCTTGACCCTCAGGTGCATTCGGCCTGACCCTTAACCCCTGACCTTTACCCACAGACAGGTAGAGGAATCCATCTAGACACAAATAAGATTAAAGTGTCCCCCCCCCCCCCCCTTAAATATTCTCCCTCAGATTATGTCCTTTGTATCCATTCCTGCCATTATTTAATATGAGTGTTGTTGTAAGATGGATGTGTCAGAACAGTGGACAACCCGTTATTGGATGAAACTAGGACTGAATCCAAGCTGATGTGGGACATTCTAACATTCTGAGATTTCGACATTCCAAACTCCACTTAGAGGTGATTCTTGGACTAAATTCCACCTTGTCATCAATTAGTATATACAAATAATTAAATACAGTTACTGTACATTCTAGCTGTTAACAAATATCTGCAAGTAAAAGTTCAGAGTGCAATTTGTTCACTTCTACTTCTCTCTCTACATAAATAGAAATGGCCTTATTCTATGTCACCGAGTATGACATTCTCTCAGTCTGATATCTGAGAGAGAGAAACGTATTCATAAATGTGCCTCATTGACAAAAACGGTGTAACTTGGGAGTTCTGAAACCCTAGCCGGGTGCTGGCTGGGGCCCTTTGGAATGTGCTGGCTCTAACTGAACAGAGATCCTCTAGCTGGCCAGCCCCCTAAAGAACTGGCTCCAAGAGGTCCTGACAGTGGCTGCGTCTTTCTGAACCAGCTATAGATGTGCCAGAGCTGAACATATATCTGTCTCCTATACAGTGCTAGCAGATGGATCCTGTTTTAACTTTTGTGAACCTGTGTTCACATGATGTATGGCAGAGTTCACTATATACAGTTACTTCTCAGTACCCCATGGAGTGATGTCGGTGGGAATCCAGGCGTAGCTAGTGCTGAATCAGTCCTGTATACTCTAATATTCTAAATAAACATAACATTTTACATCTTCCTTAGTTCTTTGAAGGACTTCCTCAGTTGTGACACTCAATGTTAGATTAAAAACCATTAAAAACAAAAGTCGGTGCTAATCCAAATGTGAATTTATTTCCATTTTCAAAAAGTGCAAAAGCATGGTGGTAAACTTTTGCACACCGGCTGAATGCGAACATAAGACATATTTTAAAAACATAACAGTCAACACGCTTTGGGGGCGTGGGGTTACAGTCAAAACAGTCTGGGCGACATTCATAAATAAAATGAATATAAAAAAGATGCAGTATGTGACAGGCAGCAGGCCAGGACAAAACCTCAACAGCAGATTTGTGGTTCTATGAAAACCGAGCCAATGATAGATGACTTATGCTTTCACCAAGGTGGCGAACTCTGTGGAAACAAGGAGGAAACAACACCAGTTATTGCAAGGCAGGTCTTCATGAGAACTGTTAAAAAATACACCTCATAAAATCCTCATTCCTACATGGCATCTAAAAGTAGTTACGCGTTACTAAAAATAGTTACGCATTACTAAAAGTAGTTACTTGTTACTGTTAACTTGATAGTTTGATTGAAATGTGCAAAAGTTATTTATTTACCATCTACTCCGATCATGCCATCACCATCAACATCTCCTGCTGCAAGGAAGGCCTTGGTCTCTTTATCTGTCAGAGCTCTGGCACCAGCAGAGAAGGTCTGGAGGAACAGCCTGGAGAGCGAGGAGGAGGGAGGTAGAGAGGGAGGGAGGGAGAGAGGAGGAGGGGAGGGAGAGGAAGAGGAGGGAGGGAGGGAGGGGAGAGGGAGGAGGGAGGGAGAGAGGGAGGAGGGAGGGAGGGGAGAGCAGGAGGAGGGAAGGAGAGAGGGGAGGAGGGAGGGAGAGAGGGAGGAGAGTGGGAGGAGGGAGGAGGGAGGGAGGAGAGGGAGGAGGGCAGGGAGAGCAGGAGGAGAGAGGGAGGAGGGGAGGGCCGAGGGCGAGAGGGAGGGAGAGAGGGAGGAGAGAGAGAGGGAGGAGGGAGGAGAGAGAGAGGGAGGAGGGAGGACGAGAGGGAGGGAGGGAGAGGAGGGAGAGAGGGAGGAGGGAGGGAAAGAGGGAGGGAGGGAGGAGAGAGAGAGGAGGGAAGAGAAGGCAGGGGGGAGGAGAGAGAGATGGGAGGAGGGAGGAGAGAGGGAGGGAGGAGAGAGAGAGGAGGGAGAGAGGGAGGAGGGAGGAGAGAGGGAGTGAAAGAGGGAGGAGGGAGGAGAGAGGGAGGGAGGGAGAGAGGGAGGAAAGAGGGAGGGGGGAGGGAGAGAGGGAGGAGGGAGGAGAGAGGGAGGGAGGGAGAGAGGGAGGAAGGAGAGAGGGAGGAGAGCGGGAGGAGGGAGGGAGAGAGGGAGGAGAGCGGGAGGAGGGAGAGAGGGAGGAGAGAGGGAGGGAGAGAGGGAGAGGGAGTAGGGAGAGAGGGAGGAGGCATTTTGAGAAAATTGTGTGCTATTTTCCCATGTGAATTCATGACATTTGAATTCATTAGTTGAATTAAAATGTAGTTGACCCTTGAATTGACCCTTGGATCTATTTTAGTTGAAAACATTTACATTTCCGGCCTCATCAGAATAGTCAGAAGGGAATCGCCGAAATATGTAGGTTACTGGTGTTCATTTCAGTTGAAGTTACTCCTATGCAGTGAAATTAATATGATACTTGGTGAGTAGAGAGCAAGGAATAGTCAAGATATGCACTGGTATTAATTTCAGTTTCAAGGGTGGTGTTGCGTTGTACTGTACAGTAAGGTAGCCTTTGGCAACTGAATCAACTTGATCAACATGAGACTTACTTGAGCTCATCCTCCTCAATGAAGCCACTCTTGTCCTGGTCAACGAAGTAGAAGGCTTTCTTCAAATCCTCAGTAGACTTGCCAGCCAGGCCAACCTTGGTGAAGAACTCCTTGTGCTTGAAGGACTCAGCAGCTGTGAGAGATAAACCCAGTGGTCATTTCAACATCACAGCCTGCTCATGGATGACTAAACCTGGTCAATATGGGTCATTTCACTTTCACTGTCATTGATCGTCATAAATCAATAAAGTTCAGCACACCTGCACAATGCTTGAGGGCAGCAGCGATATCCTCATCCTTAAGCATTCCCTTGAAAGCCATTTTTAGATTCTGAGAAATGGAGAGCGAGAAAGTGAGAGAAGATAGCAGAGAGAGAGAAAGACATTTTCAAAGTCATGAACATTAATATTTAACAGTAAATACATAGGCCCACTAATAGACTATCTTGTATCATAGGCCCACCAATAAACTATCTTGTATCATAGGCCCACTAATAGACTATCTTGTATCATAGGCCCACTAATAGACTATCTTGTATCATAGGCCCACTAATAGACTATCTTTTGACTCTGATAACCACAACTATTGTCAAGAAAATTGTCTTAGGCTTATAGATATATGTAGATAGACCTTTTCTCAAATGTTCTTTAATTAATTAACTAATTGTTTAGATAATTAATGGATTTAAATGGATAAGAAATAGCATTGGGTCTGTGTTATCTGTAGCCTACAAGTTTACATTCCAAACTTAGCTCCTCTGTGCTCAAAGGCAGAGCGCCCCAATGCAAGAAACTACAGTAGGCCGACGCCCATACAGTGGTATGCTGTGACCCATGACCTTTAGCTCTAAATCACACTAAAAGATTCACATAGGACTTTCACTGTCATGAAGGTCCATCCATGGTCATTTAGATGGAGAACAAGCATTGGTTTAGAAAGAAACATTGAGTAAGACATGTCTGCCAGTGACTGTAAGCATCATTCAGAGTGGTCCTCGAACTGACATTCCTCGTGCGACAAAACCATGGCATAAGTCCTCCATCTCCATCTCTCAGGTAAACGCTTGAAGTCCCATGTTATTATAATTGGTTTGCCTCCAACTCCAAACGCATTCCAGATAGAGACGTTTCCCTCTTCATTTTGATTGAATTTATTCCGTGGAGGTAGTAAAGAAAAATCTTCGCATGTTGTTGATGTTGAAAACCATTGGCGGTCAGTAAATTAGAACATCAGTCCGGTTGAGGGAACTCACCTTTGGAAGATTAGTGGATTAGTGACGAGGAGGCGGCTGTATCTCAGTGTAGGGCCGGATGAAGCAATACTCCCCTAGCTCCCACATTATATACTCTCGCCCTTCAAGGTGTAACGCACACCATATGCTTAGGGTTAGTTTTGAAAAAATGTGTCTAGTAGTCAAATTGTTCTATATTTATCCGTTCAACTAAGGATATGCATGCAGTCCTTGGTGAAATGCAAGACAGGCATTTTTGGGTGCCAAGCTGATCTACTCATTCGACTGTATCTTGGAGGCAAAATGCCTGCAATGCATATTTTTTTGTAATATGACCCCTTATCTGCAATCAGGGCAATGTGACTCTTGGGGACCTCAGTGAGTTTCTGAATGTATAGAATAAGTATCAGATCATAAACCAGATATGAACCATTTAGTATATGTCAAATCAGATCATTTTGTTTTATATGATTTATATAAAAATGTAACTGTTTTAAGCTAATGTACATTATAGTATTAACCATAATGTACTCTAGTGTATATGCCTTATGCTAATTGCTATATTCTTGTGATGTAGGCTTTGATTTTCTAATGTATCATTATTTTGCATAGATTCTTATGCTAGATGATATTGTGCTTGTCATATTTGTAAACAATATAAATCACCTCCATACTAGCGCAGTCTCATTTAAACATGTTAAAAGTTGTTGTTGTTGATAGAAAAATATACATGATCTTCTTGACAGTTGAAAGGTTCCCAAGCTATCAGTTTATAGCAAGAAAGCTAATCCCTCGTCTGCCCTTCATATAACCATAAGGAGAAAATGACTTGGTCTGGATGATATACTGCAGTTGGATACGCATGAGAGGAATACAGACGTTTGTTGACTTGACTCTTTACCCTGGGCTACATGCTCATATTCATGCAAGGACCAGCCTGTCAATGCCATGGTTAGGATACGTCACATACTGTCATATGAAGACAGGTGCTATAATATCTATGGTCAAACCCAGATATATTTACATACTTTCCGTCAGGGAAAGACAGCTGCAGGCGAGGCAAGGGTTAAGCCAAATACTGTTTATTTGTATTGGTTTACAATATCATATTTTCCTTTGTCGAAACAACAGCATATTGCACTACTACAGAGGCCTCCTGTAGCTCAGTTGGTAGAGCATGGCGCTTGCAATGCCAGGGTTGTGAGTTCGATTCCCACGGGGGGCCCGTATGAAAAATGTATGCACTCACTAACTGTAAGTCCCTCTGGATAAGAGCGTCTGCTAAATGACTAAAATGTAAAATGTACTAGTACTGACAGACAGCGGCTGGACCAACCCAAGAAGTCGCTGAGCAGACCATGTACAGCTTGCCTTCAAATTAAAAGATTGTCAAAAATAAACATCTTCTTCATCTCCATCTCTTTATGAAGACATGACAAGGTTGGAGAACTCTGAAAGAGACACACAAACAAACCAAAAATAAAATGTGCTCATTAATGTTCAAAATGCAGAATGTAGAGATTGAATTACTTTCCAACCACTTTCCAAACTAGGTTTCTGACCCAGTAATCCTTAAATTTCCACTAGAATCATAAATGTTAACGGCTGGCCCCGGCCCTCGTTGCCTAGTAACCCTACCGTCCCAGCCTATCTTTCCGTCCCCGTCCTTGTCCCCAGCCAGGAGGAAGGCTCTGGTCTCAGCCGCTGTCAGGGGACGAGCCCCCTTAGAGAAGTTCTGGAGGAAAAGTCTAACACACACACACAAAAACATGAAACACAAAACATTAAAGTAGTATTACATGCAGTACCCTGTACAGTAGAGGTTTTGTGTGTTTGGTTGTATCCATCTAACGGATCAGAAGTACTTGTATTAGGCAACATTTGTTGAGAAACCAAAGAAAAATAATGATTGGTATGATCTGCTTAGTATCAGCTGCTGTTTTGATCATGGGTTCAAGTTCCCTGGAAGACATGTCTGTTATATTGAGACTCAACTGTAGCTCGTCCTGTTCGATGTAGCCACTCTTGTCCTGGTCCAGGATCATGAAGATCTTCTCAATCTCAGGGAGAGACTTCTTGGACAAGCCCACCATCGCAAAAAACTTATTTGGGCTGAAGGAGTCGTTTGCTAAAAGCAGAATGGACAATGTATAATGACAAGTGACCAAACAAACCTTTGATGTTTGAAGTTAATAGCTCATAACTCACTGAGTTTCCTTTTCACTTGGATTTCCTGAGTCTTAATATAAACACATTTGTGAAGCCACAATCATATACTCAAAAATATACTGCATTCATGAGTCCCTATGGGCAACCTAAAATCCTTACTGTAAGATTAAGATTAAGATAACTTTATTGGTCAATAGCACACAAGGTCCAACTGAAATTTGACTTCCGCTTTTAACCCAACCCCTCCTAAAGACGCACATACATATACAGGTTTGGAGAGGTGTGGGGGGCTGCCACACTGTAACATTCCCCATACTCATTATGCAATAGTAGAGGTCAAAAGTGCTAATGCACAATGTAGTACATCCATACCTCTGCAAGCATTGATAGCTGAAGTAACATCTGACACAGCGAGGAAGTCTGTGAGAGCCATACTGAAGCTGTAGCGAGATCGTGATGAAACGTAGCAGCTTGTGGTTGTATCCAAACTGATGGTGAGGTAGAAAGCTACTGATAAGAGGGACCTTATGATACTGTGATGTCAGAAACCACCAGCGTTTCCGTGCCAAATACAGCTGCCTTCTGGGCCCACTTGATGTTCAACTGACATGGATGACAAAGCTTTTGTTTGGCACTTCAGAGACAAACTGAAAGTAGCCCTTCTGTTGAACAGAAAGGCATTCTTAGTAGCTTTCCCCCCATATACAGTGCATTCGGAAAGTATTCAGACCAGTGGAGGCTCCACAGAGGAGGAAGGGGAGGACTATACTAAAACTAAACTAAATATTATCACGTTACTGAATAATTGATTAAAACATACTATTTTGCAATGAAGGTCTACAGTAGCCTCAACAGCACTCTGTAGGGTAGCACCATGGTGTAGCCGGTGGACAGCTAGCTTCCGTCCTCCTCTGGGTACATTGACTTCAATACAAAACCTAGGAGGCTCATGGTTCTCACCCCCTTCCATAGACTTACACAGTAATCATGAAAACATCCGGAGGACGTCCTCCAACCTATCAGAGCTCTTGCAGCATGAACTGACATGTTGTCCACCCAATCAAAGGATCAGAGAATGATTCTAGTACTGATAGTGCATAAAATGTGGTCAGTAGTTGACTCAAAGAGAGAGAAAGACAATAGTTGAACAGTTTTGAACAAATTAATTTCTTCCATATATGAAGGAGAAGCAAGAAAGAGATATAGAGAGAGATTGTCATTTTTTTTCAGTTTCACTTACTTAGCTAGCAAATGCAGCTAGCTAGTTTAGCACCCGGCTCAAACAGAGGGATGCTATGTTAGCTAGCTGGCTATGACTATTCAACACAGCACTGGAACTCTTCCAAGTCAAGGTGAGCTTTTGGTTTTACTAATCTATTGCCACCGGGGCCCGCCGGTGTAAGTGCGAAACTGCTTACTGACTGTATTTTTTATTTTTATTATTTTTATTTCACCTTTATTTAACCAGGTAAGCCAGTTGAGAACAAGTTCTCATTTACAACTGCGACCTGGCAAAGATAAAGCAAAGCAGTGCGATAAAAACAACAACACAGAGTTACATATGGAATAAACAAAACGTACAGTCAATAACACAATAGAAAATCTATATACAGTGTGTGCAAATGTAGTAAGTTATGGAGGTAAGGCAATAAATAGGCCATAGTGCAAAATAATTACAATTTAGTATTAACACTGGAATGATAGATGTGCAGAAGATGATGTGCAAATAGAGATACTGGGGTGCAAATGAGCAAAATAAATAACAATATGGGGATGAGGTAGTTGGGTGGGCTAATTACAGATGGTCTGTGTACAGGTGCAGTGATCGGTAAGGTGCTGTGGTATCGCGTCGAATGCTGGTGGTTATTGCTGTCAACAAAGAGTCCGCTTAGGCTGCACCGTGGTTAGAGGCTTTTATTAATATCACACGTTTACAGCATAAGTTACAGACCCGCGGTGTCTGGAGAAGCGCCGTCCCAAATTAATCTGAATGCTTCTGACCCCTCCTTCGTTTTTCCCCCAGTATATATAATCTCCCCAAGATGTGGGTGGCTCCCTCTACTGTCCAATCCCCTGTCTACAACACACTTCCTGTCTGTTGTATGTGGCGTTACACTAAAACATTCCCTCTTGATACTAAAATCAACGTCCTCTCCGGTTCCACTTAAAACATTAACAACGTCATAATCTTCATATACGATAGTGCTCTGACAACTGACGCTTAAAGTTAGTGAGGGAGATAAGAGTCTCCAGCTTCAGAGATTTTTGCAGTTCGTTCCAGTCATTGGCAGCAGATAACTGGAAGGAATAGCGGCCAAAGGAGGTGTTGGCTTTGGGGATGACCAGTGAGATATACCTGCTGGAGCGCATACTGGGGGTGGGCTAAGATAAGGCAGGGATTTGCCTAGCAGTGATTTATAGATGACCTGGAGCCATTGGGTTTGGAGACGAATATGTAGTGAGGGCCAGCCAACGAGAGCGTACAGGTCACAATGGTAGGTAGTATATGGGACTTTGGTGACAAAACGGATGGCACTGTGATAGACTACATCCAATTTGCTGAGTAGAGTGTTGGAGGCTATTTTGTAAATGACATCGCCGAAGTCAAGGATCGGTAGGATAGTCAGTTTTACGAGGACATGTTTGGCAGCATGAGTGAAGGAGGCTTTTTTTGCGAAATAGGAAGCCGATTCTAGATTTAACTTTGGATTGTAGATGCTTAATGTGAGTCTGGAAGGAGAGTTACGGTCTAACCAGACACCTAGGTATTTGTAGTTGTCCACATATTCTAATTCAGACCAGCCGAGAGTAGTGATTCTAGTCGGGCGGACGGGTGCAAGCAGCGTTCGATTGAAGAGCATGCATTTAGTTTTACTAGTGTTTAAGAGCAGTTGGAGGCTACGGAAGGAGTGCTGTATGGCATTGAAGCTCGTTTGGAGGTTTGTTAACACAGTGTCCAATGAAGGGCCAGATGTATACAAAATGGTGTCGTCTGTGGATCTGAGAGTCACCAGCAGCAAGAGCGACATCATTGATATACACAGAGAATAGAGTAGGCCCGAGAATTGAACCCTGTGGCACCCCCATAGAGACTGCCAGAGGTCCAGACAACAGGCCCTCCGATTTGACACATTGAACTCTATCTGAGAAGTAGTTGATGAACCAGGTGAGGCAGTCATTTGGGAAACCAAGGCTATTTAGTCTGCCTATAAGAATGTGGTGATTGACGGAGTCGAAAGCCTTGGCCAGGTCGATGAAGACGGCTGCACAGTATTGTCTTTTATCGATCGCGGTTATTATATCGTTTAGGACCTTGAGCGTGGCTGAGGTGCACCCATGACCAGCTCGGAAACCAGATTGCATAGCGGAGAAGGTACGGTGGGATTCGAAATGGTCGGTGATCTGTTTGTTAACTTGGCTTTCAAATACTTTCGAAAGGCAGGGCAGGATGGATATAGGTCTGTAACAGTTTGGATCTAGAACGTCACCCCCTTTGAAGAGGGGGATGACCGCGGCAGCTTTCCAATCTCTGGGGATCTCAGACGATACGAAAGAGAGGTTGAACAGGCTGGTAATAGGGGTTGCGACAATTTTGGTGGCTAATTTTAAAAAGAAAGGGTCCAGATTGTCTGGCCCAGCTGATTTGTAGGGGTCCATATTTTTTTGCAGCTCTTTCAGAACATCATCTATCTGAATTTGGGTGAAGGTGAAGCGGGAGGGGCATGGGCAAGTTGCAGCGGAGGGTGCAGAGCTGGTGGCCGGGGTAGTGGTAGCCAGGTGGAAAGCATGGCCAGCCATAGCAAAATACTTGTTGAAATTTTCGATTATTGTAGATTTATCGGTAGTGACAGTGTTTCCTAGCCTCAGTGCAGTGGGCAGCTGGGAGGAGGTGCTTTTATTCTCCATGGACTTTACAGTGTCCCAAAACTTTTTGGAGTTAGTGCAACAGGATGCATATTTCTGTTTCAAAAAGCTAGCCTTCGCTTTCCTAACTGATTGTGTATATTGGTTCCTGACTTCCCTGAAAAGTTGCATATCACGGGGGCTGTTCGATGCTAATGCAGTTCGCCACAGGATGTTTTTGTGCTGGTCAAGGGCAGTCAAGTCTGGGGTGAACCAGGGGCTATATCTGTTCTTATTTAAGATGGAAAGGAAAGCACTTTTAAAGAACAACCAGGCATCCCCTACTGACAGAATGAGGTCAATATCCATCCAGGATACCCGGGCCAGGTCAATTAGAAAGGCCTGCTCGCTGAAATGTTTTAGGGAGCGTTTGACAGTGATGAGGGGTGGTCGTTTGACCACGGACCCACAGCATGATGCTGCCACCACAATGGTTCACCGTAGGGATGGTGCCAGGTTTCCTCCAGATGTGACACTTGGCATTCAGGCCAAAGAGTTCAATCTTGGTTTCATCAGACCAGAGAATCTTGATTATCGTGGTCTGAGAGTCCTTTAGGTGCCTTTCGGCAAACACCAAGCGGGCTGTCATGTGCCTTTTACTGAGGAGTGGTTTCCGTCTTGCCACTCTACCATAAAGGTCTGATTGGTGGAGTGCTGCAGAGATGGTTGTCCTTCTGGAAGGTTCTCCCGTCTCCACAGAGGAACTCTGGAGCTCTGTCAGAGTGACCATTGGGTTCTTGGTCACCTCCCTGACCAAGACCCTTCTCCCTCGATTGCTCTCCACACCTTAGCACACATGCACACACACACACACACACACACACACACACACACACACACACACACACACACACACACACACACACACACACACACACACACACACACACACACACACACACACACTCACACAAACACACACACGCGCACACACACAAACACACACACACACATTCATGATACACACACATCACAATTGCTGCTACCAGACTCTTATTTACTATTAACGCACAATTTAAAC